GAGGTTCCTTCAAACCTAACTGGTTTGTAACATGCATTGGGCCCTGGGAGAGCATGTTTCCTCTACAGAGGGGATTTGATATGGCATTAGGGTAGGGAGTGATGCTCCAAGACTGTTATGGAACATGTCCCCTGTTGATTTTAACAGCTTTGTGAGCAACTGAGTTACCATGAAGGGAAAATTTCACATCTCCCAGGGTACCTGAAGTAGATTTAGAGCTTGGAAAACACTGTTTTGTGAATCCTCTTTCCATGTAACTACTTCAAATCACCGTTGCACGTGGTAGGAGAATTCTGTTCTAGAGCCAGGATTTGGTGTGTGTCTTGTGACCATTTGGCACGACTGTTCCCATTGCTTAAGCAGATGCCTCTGCCAAGAGGATCTGTGGCTTCAATTGCATTCGCCTGGGAGGAGGCATCAGTGCAATTCATCCCACTCTTACTGGGAGAGCTGCAAAGTCCTTTTGTGGCTGCAGAGATTGAGTTATCTTTGGAGACAAAGTGTGTAGGAACATGCTGTGTCCTCTGGTCAGTCCCCTGTCTTTCTGCTCCTCCAATTAACCTTGAAATAATTGGTTTCCATTAACTCTAACAAGAGATCTCCTTGGGCTTGTCTTTATCTTCAAAAATGGAAGCTTCATGTAAGTTATGGAACTGCAGAAGAGATTGTGTCCAGCCTCCCTTGAAGGCTGATGCTGGGCTTTCATGGGGGGTTTGTCTCAGTTTAAGGAGAAGTTCAGGCTGGAGCTGTGGATGCTAAAGGTTCAGGGAGTATGGATCCAGGGGAGCAGAGGAGATAACCTGGAAAAATGAGGCTTCAGTAACTGAGTGCTTGGGGAGTTTTTGGTTTGGGTTGTTTTAATCCTTTCAGAGCTTGGTTTTATTTCAGAAAGAGCCATTTAATCGAGAAACATGAAAGAAGCAGGGGTTAGAAAGGGTATGTTTTCCTCCTAAGGCAATGTTTTCTAAAGTAGGTCGTGACCCTCTTATGCAGGAATTTTGCAGCTGCTATCCTAAGGGTTGGAACTATATATGAGAGCCTACAGGGGTGAAGGCAGGAGGTATTAAGCAGATCCTAATACCCATTTGGGGTCTCTTTCCTCCCCCCACCCCCAGCCTTCAACAAAACGATCTCCTGCTTTTCAGGAATAAAGCAGCAAGCATTTGGCTGTGCCCGGTTTTATTGTTTTGCTAAGCTGTTATGCTGGAAGAGATTAACTAGGGAGCAAATTTTCTCCGAAAGCTGATCTTGAGAGAGGCGGAGGGAAGAGCCCCAGCGCTGACCTTGATCGGAGAGTCTGGAGTTGGGGAGTGTGAACTGAGCACGGGAACATTAACCCAGTGCTGCCCACGCCCTCAGGACCGCGTTTGGCTCTGACCTGCTGGGAGAGTCGGTGTGACCAAGCAGTGCTCCCCTGGCACAAATTGCCCTTGGGGTTTTTTCCTCACTGAAGGTGGTTCATAGCAGCCCAGGAAATCTCCTCTCTTTCCCACCATTCCCTGTATATTTGTTACCTGCTCTTAAAACTTTAGAAAACTTCCTTGATGAGCCTTTTCTTTTTCTCTCCGTTGGTGTCATCATCTCTCTCTATGCCTGTTTTCACTTAGCAATGTGTTCAGCATCCTTGCTGCAGCTTCTCTCCTTTCCTTTTCTTGCCATCCTGGCATTCAACAAACAAATTGTGTGGCTTCAAAGCCTTAAGTGCCCGTGTTGCCATGTTTTCTGTACTCTTCCAAGAAGCATGGAAACCCGCCTTTGTTTGGTCCCAGGAGCACGGCACGCTGCCGCTGCCACCAAAGAGCAGCTTGCTTGTGGCACATCGTGCTGCAGCTTGGCTTAATCCTTGCCTGATACGCTTTTGAGATTTCATTGTTTCTCTATAATTAGTGCTACAGAGGAGCTGAAAGAAATGACGAATTAGCGGGAGAGGGGGGAGTGGGGAGAGCAGGTGGTGATCGAACTAAACAGAGCTGCCAGAAAAGTAGGAGCAGCAGGGAATTAAATGGGAGGAGTCTCGAGTTCAGATGATTCCCTGCCATGTGCCCAGAAGGATTTAGTTTGGGATTTCATTACTGTTAAAATAATGCCACACAGTCCTAACAGATCGGGTCCCTGCAGGCTGGGGCATTGTCCAAACACTTAGTGAAAAGCAGTTTTTGCCCTCAAGTCCTGGTGAGCATTGATCCCACAGACTCAGGGAGTGGGAAGGATCTGTAGCATGAGTGGTCCTGCTTTTAATTAGTCTGTATCTATTGTTTCTGGTAGTAACATCTTAAAACAATAAACCACAAAGCTATTCTTTGTGTAGTCACTTCTATAACCCCCTGGACTTCATCTTCTGAAAGATTTGGTCTACAGGAGTGGTATTGCATCCGGATCGTAAGAAGCACCTCTGCCAGTCGTGCTTACACCAGCTGAGTTTAACTGGCACAAAAATCCCAGGATGTCATGCTGTGGGGGAAGCAGGAGTGTGCTGACACTACTGAGCATCTGAGATAGTCTTTGAGCACAGATACTCTCATATCAATGAGGGCTGTGAGATGAAAATACACATTGAAGAACTAACTGAGGAGTGCAAAGGGTTGTGTGACAAGACAGTCCTCTGAGGTGCGCAGTTGTATATTCTTAACAGCTACTGGCTTGTGTTTTCAGCCTCTATTACTATGCACCAAGACATCCAAAGAAAGAAATCATAATACTGGTGCTTTGAATGTGTCAGCAGCAACATTTCTTCTGGGATCTAACACTTTCCAAAGAAATTATACCGTGTTTGTTTTTTATTCTGACTTCCAAAAGGCGATTGCAGTAGGGAGACCAGCAGTGCTAGGAGGTGCAAACTCACTTCTGCCTTTTGCCAGCATTTCTGTGTGCTCTGCCCTCTTTGTCTTGACTCTTTATGTGGTTTTACTGTTTTTCCCCACCAGAGAAGCTGCAGAAAAAGTTAGGAAAGCAGGTACTGGGTGGAGAGGGTCAGTGCCACCCGGGATTCCCAGTGAATGGGAATACATCTGTGCTGGGACTGCTGCTTTGCTGCTGAATTCCTGCACCTGCTGCTTGCCAGGCAAAGTGACCACAGGGAGTGTGTGTGGAGGTTTGCTTTTGGGATGTTTGTCCCCTGCATAATGTTGTGTATCTCAGCCCTGCTCCTGGCAGTGTAGCCAAACTCTGCTGTCAAAACCTCCCCACTTTGCTCTTTCTGAGCGCTTTGTGTTAAATACCTGCCCAGACTCCTACATCATCTCCAGCCTTTGCTCAAGATCCTGCTTATAGCACTCAAATTTCATTTTCAAAGTCCCTTGTAAATATTTTTGCTACTATTGCTGTTATTTTCTTCCACCTAAGCTTTGCTTTGCTCCGTGCTCTGAAAAACTTGTGCAAGTAATAAATGGCCTCAGTCTTGAACTTCTTAAAAACCCATTTGCTTTGTGAAATAGTTCAGCTTTAGCAACCTTAGCATTTTGTGTTCTGCACATTGTTGCCTTCTGGGATTAAAATGTAAACTCCTGAATGCAGGGAATCCCTGGCAAGCTGAAGCTGTTGTCCAGGGTGCACTGGCAATGCCATATAAAGTGAAGTCAAAGTCCTGTAGCTCCACTGTAGCAGGTTCTGGTTGAAGATTAGAGGAGCAGTGTCCCACAGTTCAGGACTTTTCAATTTATTTCAGTGTGACTTTGAATGGAGAAGTTTTTCTGTGTCTTTCAAGGCTGGATTTCAAGCTCTTCCCCCCCCCCTCGAAACTTTATTTGAATTCATCTTGGTGCAGCTTGGTGTGAGAAGAACATTGATGGTGGTTGTAGGGAGCTTCAGTAGCCTTTGAAGATTGAAAACTTTTGCCTCCAGTTTATGTGAATGTACTAGACAAAAATCACAAAGCTTGCAAAAATGTGCTTTGTCTGGATTTCAGAATCTGGAAGCAGTTTTTATAGTGTTAAGGACAGGAGAATCTGGTAAAATAGGTGTGTTACTGCAAAATGCAGAGTAGTTGTTCTCGTCTCTCTCCTCAGCCTAAATGGGCTCACGGGTTATGCCTGGGATAATAAACAAAATATCCGTGGGTTTATTTTTATTAGCATTTTTTGGGTATTGGCAATAGGAAGCTCTTGAACTATTTTCCACCTATCCTACCTCCTTTTTTATTAATTTGGATTTACTCTTTTCCAGTGAAGTGTGTAAATGTGGGGAACCAGAATGAAGGTAGAAAGTAAAGTAACAAGGTGTCTTATTGATGAGATGTGAATGTTGCAACAATTTTTGGAGGCCAGCAAAAATAGACTTAACATCAACTAGATTTGAAGTCTCACTGTTGCAATCTCCTTTTGATATCAAAGGGTATGATACTGCTGAGCAGTTGAAATCCAGAACTCTTATCCCTGGTTGTAGCAGTTTGAACAACTGTACATTAAAATGCAGTATTTTTTCTCTGTTGGAATTTAAATGTTCTCTGGCTGTGGTTCTCAGCCCAGACAGCGAGGCGGTGTGAGAACTGGAGCTGAACCTGCTTGAATGAAACCTACCTCGTGTCTTTGCATGAAATGAGGAGAGATGAGAACAGCAATTAGTACCTAAAAATATTTGAAAAATCTCATTAGTTTTGGTAGCAAAGACTGTGGCTTGTTTTGACACTCTGGGTGAATACATCAGGTTAAAAGTCTGTGTGACCTCAGTGGCATTGCTTTTAAAAGTACATGAGTAGAATCACTCCTCTGTTATAAGGAAGCTGGAGTCTGGATGGGTTTTTCTGTCTGCACAGCTGTAACGATCCCTGGAAGGGATCATAAAGATCCACTTGTTTTCCTTTGGTTTGCCCAGCACTTGGCTGTGGCAGCTGAGCTGACCCATGGGGCTGCACAGACCTGACTGGGGAGACCTGGAGAGCCTTCACTGGATTTTCACTTGGCTCTACTGTCTTTACTCTCTGGCATTCGTAATTTTGTTGTCTGGCCTCTCTCCCTTCCTGCTGAAGTCTGTAAGATGTTGCTGACTCTCTTTTTCACCCACAGGGAGTGGAGCGACTGCGGTGGTGCAGGCGGCCTTCTGCATTCCGAAGAAGGAGAAGGTGGCAATTAAACGGATCAATCTGGAGAAGTGTCAGACGAGCATGGATGAACTCCTGGTATGCAACCAAAATTGTCTGGGGAGTTGTATTTCAGTTATCTCTGAAATATCTCTTTGCCAAGTGCCTTAAACAGCCTTTCTTGAGGTGGGGTGAAGGTGAGGGGACTTGACTGACTCCACTAGAGGCAGCTTGGTTGTCCTGGTTGTGGGACATGGTACTTAAAATGTTAAAAAGATCAACTGTTGCAGAACTTCAGACTGTTTGTTTAGAGCTAAGCACTTTGTATAATCCCTTTGTTTTGAACAGAGTTAATGTGCAAGTGTGAAGCTCAGCTGTACCCACCAGAGCTCTGTGGTTTGAGGGGGTCCAGAGCTACATGCTTCCAGAACCTTTACAATTTAAGGGAATGGTTTTGCTTTCTTTTCCCTTCCTGCAGTTCTTCACATTTTTTCCCCTTCACCTGCAAAGAGAAAAACTAAATGAATTAGCTGTTGTTCCTAATCTCTCTCTGGTACTGATGCCAGCTAAAGGGATCACTGACATACTGCAAGCTGCCATATGGAAACCCCCGTAATTCCGAGTTCAGGACAGGAGAGAGTCCTTTGGAGCTGTAGCTCTGTAATTTCCTTCTGCTGTGTGTCTCTTCTCAAGGTTATCTCAATGAAAAACAGATTCTTGCAGAGGTAGCTGTGGTAACTGAAACTGCCCTTTTCTCATCTGGCTCGGATGTTGCTGGGCTTGGTTTTCTCCTCTCCCTATGTGTGTGTGACCTGGTGCTTCTGCAGTGCTGCAGTTGTCACCTCACACGTGGAAGATCCCTGGATTTAAGCCAGGCAGAAATGGACATTCCTGTGAACATTGAGGTGTCTCCACTAAAATGAGAAAGCTCTCTGGGGTCAAACTTTCTATAGTAAATATTGGCGTAGTAAAAACTAGGGAGATGAGGCCTTGTACCATCTTTTCTTCTAAAGCAACTGTCTAGGATTTTTATAATACTGCCTGTCTGTCCACTTACAACAACTTCTATAGTGTTACCTCAGGCACTTGTTTTTGTGGTTGCAGTTAGAAAGTAAAACGGGCAGAATTTGGGAATCCTGGTGAACTTTACACCTGTATGATCTTCAACAAATCACCTGAACCATGGTTCCGGTTTCTGTTTAGTGACTAATGATATTTTTATCATTATAGGTATCTGCAAATCTGCCCTTGTAAGGAGGAAAGGCTCCATCCAAGCTGTCACATTTTCGTGCTTCTGTGAAGGGTTGCGTGTAGGACTCTTAAGGTGGCCTGTGTGCAAATCCTCTTATGGCTCATGCTGGAGTTCAAGATCTCTTCCCTTTTCACAGTTGGTCTTTTTGTCCTGATACCAACCCTTGGTACCCTTTTCAAGCCTTTTATGTGGCTTGTCCACACTGCTCTCAGCTGTATTCCTGACTGCATTGTCACGATGTAGTAATTGAGATTGTCAGTCTTTGAGTAATTGCCAATTCTGGCTAAAAGGGTTGGGTTCAGAAAGAGATGCTGTGCACACTTGGCATGTAATTTTATATAAGTACTTCTAATTGCATATTTTAAATCCCTGGCTGACCTGGTCCTCACAAGGATTTTTCCTGTTATGGGTAGGATTGCAGTGTCTTGCAGTTGTCAGGTCTCTGGAGCTTCCAGTTTTGTGACCAGGTCTAGACTGAGTCCTTCTCTAGGCTTGGGTATGCAAATATTCTTAAACCTAAAGTCATGGTGGAGGGGAGAGGATGGTTCTGAGCTGTAGCAGCTTCCTGGGGCACTGGCTGCTGAGGTAGGCATGTTGTGTAAAAAGTGTTTTCCCTGGGTTTGTTTTGAACTTGTCAGGTTTATGGGATGTTGATTCCCAGTGCAAGAGTCGAAAGGATGGAAGTTCCTGATTTCTCTGCTCTGTGCTCTTACCTTCACTTCTTTTTATCTTGTTTCCATATTTGCTTCTTCCCTAAAGTAAATATTCTCAAGTTTTACAGTCTTGTAGTCTCCCTTCATGGCAGTTTCCCCAATTAGTTTAATTAGCTTTTTTCAGCAACTACTTCTTACTGAAGGATTGTGTGGTTTTTGGTTTTTTCTCCCAAGGAAGGTAACTATAAATCCTTACAGATTACAGTTGTTTAAAGAAGCAAATGCAAATAGAAAGATGATGAGTTCCTACTGGGGTGTGTTATACCCCCTCCTTGCTTTCTTCTTTCCCCCTGTGCAGTTAAAAACACGAGCTGGCCTTTCATTAGCTCTCCTTGCTCTGAAGGCTTCTGAGCACAATAGTCAGTTCACTGTGAACTTTGCTGGGCTGCCTGGGATCAGGACAGTGCTCTGGTGTTAGAGCAGTGCCCACTCATCGGGCAGTGTGGTAGCAAAGGGAAGATTGTGCTTAAATGATTTTATAATTATTTTTCTGCAGTGCCTCAGACCCATAGCCTTCTCTTTATTCCCAGCTAAAGGATAAAACAGTTGCTTGGGAGAGGGTAGGGAGAGCAGCAAACAGTTCTGCCATCCTAATAAGGATGATTTGGTTCTTCTCCATCTCTTTCAATGTCCATGCTGCTTAGTGGTTGGCACTTCCACTGCTTGGGATGGAGGAGAAGAGGAAGGTTAATTTGAAGTGGGGTTAGGAAATGCAGAGTAAGTGGCTCTATCTCCAGACGAGTGGCCTTGAGCTTCCTTGAGCCTGGCATGTTCCCAGAGGCCAGGAAATCCTGGACCACCTTCTGGCTTGTGGAGATGCCATGCTTAGAGTGATTTAAGTGGTATGACTTGGCTTGTTAAAGGTATTGATCTTTATCCTTGTATTTCAACACTTGAACCGTGTGGGTGGTCAGGGATAACCTGCACGCTTTGCATACCCCGTATGACATTCTAGGTTAATGCAATGGATTAATTTATTGTTGCTACAGGGTATGGAAAATGCAGGAAGGACCAATTTTTTGAATTAAGAGCGAGCCAAGTCAAGGGCATTCAGCTCTTCAGCTAATTGCTGTAAAGAATGTAGGCAGCAGGAGTAGTGCCATGCAGAGATGTGCTTTTTTCTAGCCCAGCTACCGAATCAGGTGATGTTAATCAGGAATTTATTTCAGTGCTTGATTTCTGTCCTTTTCCCTGTACGTTTTTGAATGCTCCCAGATCCTTCCTGCATGTGGGATTCAGCTGACAGCAAAGTACAATATAGCTTGTAATGACTGTTACTCAAGGGTGTGACTGGGAGTGGAGTGTAAGGAGAGGTGGTCAAATACAGTGTGGCCTACAATTCATCTTGGACTTCTTGATTTATAACTGAAGTTCCACTTCTTATTTGTCTTGCAGCCCAGAGTAGTTAACAAGCATGTAGCATTTGGTGTGTGTTTGAAAGCAGTCTGCCCATGTGTTGTCCTTCACAGCTGCACACTGTTCAGTGCTGTGTTTTGCTCTTACTCTTTTCCATTGTGGGATGCTGGTTGCTTTGCTGCTGTTGCCAATCCTTGAAACACAGTGGTGTAACATCTGCCTCAAAAAAACCCTGCCTCCAGCTTTTTTCTTGTATGAGTGTTTTCTTGTTTTAAAGAATTACTAATCTAAAAGGCCTTAAACCTCCCCTCTGCCCACAAGCTCCGCTTCATTTTCATGCAATTAAAGCTGAGTTTTCTTTCATCCAAATGTTTGGGTTTTTTTTTCCTCCATGAGTAGCAGATGATGTGGATTGTCACCTTAGCAGTTATCAGGAATGCTGAACAGCAGAGAGGGCAACATAAGCTATGGGATATTTTACACTGGGCTAGGGTGACTCAACAGGAGACAGGTTAAGGAAAGAGCATGGGAGATGTGGTGTTTCTGCTCCTAGGAAGAGATTCCAAATTCTAATAGGACTGGGCCTGACAGGTCTACACACAAGAAGAGTGAAGGGAAAGTACTGCTCTTCCACTGCTGTGGTCAGAGGGCAGTTGGGGAGGCAGAGGGAACAAGTTGAACTGCAGTAAATCAGAAATGTCCTTTAGAATTTCATGGAATTAACCTGGGGAACTTCTGCCAAAAATACGGAGATCAAACATTGCGTGAGATTAAATAAATCAACCTATAGTTGAGAAGGTTAAATTAGATAGGATTTAAAAAAAGGATTACGAACTCCCCTGGTTTAAAGCATAAGCCAACTGTTAACTGCCCAGGCTTAGTCAGAAGTCTCCCCTCTGGGCAGATAACTGTGTAACTGCTTTTTATAGGGTTTTTACACCTTCTTTTGAAGACTTGGACAGGATATTGAGCTGCCTTTGATCTGACAGAGCAGTTCCTACAAGTGGATTAACCAGCCTGTAAGGTTGTTGGGAACAAAGCAGCAGGCTGGTGTAGTAGTAGTACAGACCTTTCATCCATGTCTATCATCTGATGGGAATTGCCATTATAATTCCATTTTCAGGCCTGAGGACCTTTACACTTGCCCCAGGGGAAAAAGTCCCCAAGTGTCAATGCCAGGGAATCTGATGTATAATATGTGGCTTCTGCATGGTCATTTGATATGCCATATTGTGTGTTTCTTGCATGATGGGATTGCAGCTTTACACAAGACTTAAACCTACGCTGGGTACAGCTTGGTTGTATTGCTTTTCAAAGCAGCAACAACAGAAGTAGTAATTGCTGGGCTGGTCGAAGTTTTTTTTTGTTGTTGTTGTTATTGTTTTTTTTTTTTTGTTTTGTTTTATTTTAGTAAAGTTCAGTAGGAACATCAGGATTAATGGTGCATGAAATCCTGAATGTAGAATGTCTTCCTTCACTTGTACTGGATGAGCATGAGATGGTGCATGTAAAGAACTTCAGTGAGTTCACAGTTGTCTGTGGGGACTAATCACACATTTAAAGCTTTGTTGAGCTGTAAGCACCTAGTATAGATCTGAACAACTGAGGGTCAGTGATAGGTTAGTTGGTGATGAGGGTAAAGCTGTCAGTCACTTGCCCATTTGCTTGGTGGCTGAAACCAATAAAAATGGCTGTGGATGAGCTGCTACACCACAACAGTCCTAAATGTTTGCTTCCTTCAGTAAGTTGTCACTAATACTGCATGAATTAATGATCCACTGAATAATGCTGAAGAGTAAGAGTAGCCATTGAAATGGGCAACTGCTGAATGACTTGCCATGGGGGTGTTTTGTTCCCATCACCTAAGATTAATTAATGATGAAGTCTCTTTATCCCTTTCAGAATTGTTTCTTTTCCAGCGTCGTTCTAGGGCTTATCTAACCCCTCTTTACTCATGCCACTCTAGCTCTTGTAGCCACATCTTGAGGTAAGGAGTTGAATAATCCAAGGAGTGGAAGTTGAATCAGAATCTCTGATTTTAAGCTTTTTGCTTTTTTTGCACCTCCTTATAAAAACATCTCTCAAATTGATTGTGATGGAAGAACATGTTTGGGTTTTTTTTTTCTTTGTTGTTATGCTTATGTTTTGAAAGAGGAATGAATTAATATTCTCAATTTTCCAACCTTTTAGCTAAACCATTTGAATTTCAATTGGAGCAAAATGTGAACAGTTATGGCTGCCTGTAGGACTGGGGCTATAAATCCTACTTTAAAAGGATGAAGAACAGCTTTAATGCCTTATCTCTCAGCTGAAATCTCATGGTTTATGATCTTTGCCAGCCATAGTTGAAGCACTGGTGTTTTCAAGGGGTGATCACATCTGACCTCCTTTGATTTCTCCCCAAGCTGTGCTTTTCCTTCCCCAATTCTCTTATGGTCGTGATTGCCTTCAAACAGGGCAGTCAAGCTGGCAGCTTTCTGGATTCCTCTGAAGTTGCAGGTAGCCACATGAAAGCATTCTGCTGCTGTGCTCTATCTCTTGAGTTCATGTCAACATGTAGGAAGTAAAACTAAATAAAGCACGATTTTTATCCTTGTGTTTGAGAGCCAAGTGCCTTTGAAGCAAACCTCAGGGGCAGATAAACACAAAGAGTAGAAGGTGATGATGTGAACAGAAAACACCATTAAGAAAGCTGAGCTGTAGCTAAAACAGTCTTACCCGCTCCTATTAACTTAAACTTCAGTTATAAGGCGGTGGGCAAATAAACCCCCTTCCAAAACAGCGGATCTCCAGAAGTATGTCTGACTTACAGGAGACTAATAGGTTTCTTATGATTCTAAATTATACTTCACAGCAGTTTTATTACTGTTTTGCAAGCCTTGAAATGTTTCTTTTATTGCCCGTAGCGGTACTGAAAACATTTGTCAGAATCCTTAGTGGAAGCCATGGAGGCATTTAGAGCTAATCCCAGTCTATTTGCTTTTGGTGTTTGACAATGCAGATATTTTTAATATCTTGCCCAGGGTGAGCATGTAACCATTTCCAAACCATTGCCTGTGTCTAGACACGTTGTTGTCAGAAATTCATTCTCCACAGCTGAGCAGAAAGCAGAGCACTTTATGGGAATTGGCAGGAAGGCTGTCTCTCATCGCTGGAGCCATGGAGTGTGAGGGGTGTTGGATGGAAGAGCTGCCCGTCACCCACCGGATCTGCTCATGGCTTGGGGGGGTCTGTGTCAAGTGACCCATGACTGTTGGCACAGAGGGAATAAAGCAACATTTCCAGCTTAAAACTTGTGTAGAGCAGCCCAGATAAATGCTGATGTTTAGCACTGACATACAATTACAGAGGTGTGGAAACCGCTGAGATTTTTATTAGGAGTCTTCCAATAGAATTTTGATGCTGGGGAAAATAAGGGAAGCAGAGTTGTAGCTCAGTTATCTGGGGATAGCAGTCCTGTTAAGAGCGTGGGGAGAGGAAACCTCTGCCTGCTTTGGCTTTGTTGTGTTTAAAGAGCAGCAAGCTCTCAAAAAAGCTTTAGAAATAGTATTAAAGCTGTGCTTACTACCCACAGAAGGGCTGTTGCTGCATTTTATCCCCAACTGCTCCCTCATTCTGTAAGTATGCATTTGAGCAGAGCTTTCCAGTGATCCTTGACTGGGATTCCTGCTTTAGGAGCAGCCCTTCAGCCCTTGCATTTGTGCTGCTGGAGCACAGACTGTGCATGCACGGCAGAGCTGGCTGGGTTTCAGTTATGCCAGGAAGCATTTTAACACAAATCCTGCTGTGATTTGCCACCATCACTTAAAACGATTGTATGTGCTGAGCCTTCAGGATGTTGGTACCGTCTTTAGGGTGAAGAGGAACCAAGCTTTGATGTAGGTGTGAGATTAGCCTAGAAAACTGCTGAAAATGAGGTGGGGATCTGTGGGTGGGAGGAAAAGTCTGCCTGGCTGCTGCTCCTTCTGATTGGTATTAATGTAAAAACATTGAAAATCATGGGCTGTGATGCAGTTAATTATTCAGAGCTGTGCTACACTGTGTGAGAAATGGATTAATCTGCCTGTGTTACACATCCTCTGTCTGACAGAGGTGTTTAATTGCACAGATCAGGTTTGTGATTATTTATTTTCCTTCTTTGTGCACCAAAGCATATGACAGGCTTGAGCTATTTTTCTTTAATTTATTTATTTTGTTAACTGTGCTTCCCAGCCTGGGGAGCAGATTGTGGTAGTGAATGAGAGAGGAAGTTCTTGAAAAATAATAAAATAGTAACTAAGTGTTGCAGAATGCCTGAAAAAGGCCATTTTACAGGGTTGTGCAAACGGCAAAGATCTGATTCAGGTCTAGGCTCTGAAGTAAACTTGGTCCAGACTTTGTGTCATTGCCTCCTGAACTGCAGTGGAATACACTAATATATATAAAATATGCAATGTTTGTGTATATTTCTTGTATTACTCTTTTGATCTCCCAGGGAGCTGCTTCAAAATATTTGGTCTAGCTAAAAAAAAGATAAAAACAGATCCTGTAGATCATTTCTGAGTGGTGGGTTTGGGGCAGGACTGGCTGATAGGATGGATCACCAGTCCTGCCTGCTGCTTTCTGCCTCAGTTTCCTCTGGTACCATTTGTGCACATGTGGTATTTTTTAGTTGTCAGAGAGAGAACTATAGAAAGCCACAGAAAACCCCAAAGCTGCTGATTTATTTCCTTTTTGAAAAATGGCTTGATACAAGTGAATGTTTGCAAGGAAGGGAGCTGGAGCTGTCAGAGTAAGCAGAGGATATTGTTTTAAGCTGTATTTATTTTCACAGAGTGGTTTTTAGGCAAAGAGTGTCTACATGGAGATGAATAGCCTATTCCCCATTCTTGAAATATCCTTTCCTGTTTAGAAGGATTCTTCTTTAATCTGCTTGTTGAAGTTTCCTGGAAAGTTGGTGCCTCTTCTGGGGAAGCAGAAAGAGGAACCGATTGCTTTGGATTCCTCAAATGCACCTATTCCCTGAAAAGCAGTATTAAGTGGATAAATCAACATGAGCCTGTTCCTTTGGAGCTGTGATTGCCAGTAAAGCCTTGCCAAGGGGAAGCAGTTTGCCTTTGCGCTGTACTCGGTCACAAGCAGAGCTTTGCACATGAGCAGGAGAATGTGCTGCGTTTGTGGGGTGTCCTGGGCATGAGTAAATTCTTCTCAGAGCTCTCTCTTGTACTTCATACCAGGGAGGTCTTGTGCTTAGAGGGAGGAAAGGATCAGGGTGTGAAGGACCCTTGCTCTCCTCCTTCCCCATGAGTTTGGGATTATGGGGTCAGCTAAGTCTGTGTCATGGGGAAGAGGCTGACAGTGAGCAGGGATTAAACCTTTGAAAAGTGAGTGGCATCCACATGTTCAGTGAAGGAATGTCTTAGTTGAGAGCTGAAGTTTGGGGTATGAGGGTCTGCTGTGGGTGATGCTGGAGGGAACAACTTGACAGGTTGGGGAACTTGGCTGAAGGTACAACTTGGCTAAAGCACAATGGCTCAGCTGGGTGCAGTGCAGGGTGCCAGGCTTGGCTTAAGGGATGGCTTTTGTCTATGGACAGCCAAGAAACTGTGAGGCTTTCTGTCCAGACTGGTGATTTGTGCTTGCATAATGAAATCAGTCAGTGCTTTCTGTGGTGGTGTTCCTGCCCAAAACCTGGAACACCTCGACCCTTAACCCATAACCAAATCTAAGACTAAGCACGGTCAAAACTCAAAACAGTTTAATATCTGAACATATTTCATATTGTCCTCCATCTGTAGTAGCTAATGACTTTCTAATCTCAAAGTGATTTCCCTCTTCTTCCAGTATGACAAAGGATACAGCTGTCCTTTGTGCCTTCAACCTGATTGAGCTAAGCCATCTGCTTTCCTGCTGGGAAGAAACATTAGGAATAAGAGGCCTTTTTTTCCCAGAGGTAGATATTTCCCTTTCTCATCCAAATGATAGTCTTCAACAGATTAAGCATCTGTTGTGTAATGTCTTAATGAAAGGAGACGTCAACAGGAACTTCTTAGGTCAGAGATGTGTGAATTTTTGGGAATATTCTCTTGAGGCTGCATGCAAGTGTTTTGGTTGCCACCACTTCATTGTCCTTGACAAAGACTTCTTGGTCAGTTTTTTCTTCCTTCTGGACAGGCAGGCAGAGCACCCTAAAATACCTTTGATGCAGTCTGAGTGTTTAGAGTATTTCTGGATTTCCTTTGTTTAGCTTCGAGTTATCCTTTTCCTTTGCACCCTCTTTGTGTCTTGAGGAAGCTGAAGATAACTTCTGTGCCCGAGGGGTAATAATCACTGGGTCCAACTGCTAATGCTTTATTTTTCTCTACAGAAAGAAATTCAAGCCATGAGTCAGTGCCATCACCCCAACATTGTATCTTAC